AAAATTCCTCTTCTTCTCAAAACACTCAGTGTTTCTGTATCAGGCTATACTTGCGACGGCAGAGGCAATAGCCATAGGGCTAACTAAAGCGATTTTGCGCGCGGGGAGGGCGTTTATGCAGCACTAAGGCTTGGCCTCGGGCGAGTACTAAGCCAGCATGCATGTTTACACCTCCTATCACCTCGCGTTACAGCGACGGTGCAGCGTCTTGAACTAATTGTCGGACCACTTCCCTCCCCCTTCCTCCCCTCTCTGATCTCTTGATATTAGTATAATTTGACCCCTTGATCTCTGAAACGCCTCTTCCCCTTACTTGCTCTTGAATGGATATTTAAACTTCTGTCACTCCACCCTCCCTTTTATTATCTTTATTGCCTGGTGATAAATACTCCAAAAAAGTACGTTCGCCAAACTTGACTTCTTGAAAATGGCGAATCTATACTAGCGGTAAATACGCTTATTCTTTCGCAAAATAAACTTGATGCTCAAGATCTTAGCACGGTGTACTGTGCCGTTGCCTGAAAGGCTGAATTGACACGAGAACCCGCGGGCTCTCTGGACAGATTGCTTGGCTTCAGTGGTTCCCTGTTGGTTTAACTGTGCGACATCCCAACCATTTTCACTAAATATTGGGCTATTTAGGATATATACAGTAAAGTGTATATCTGAGAAAGTGTGGCAGCATAGACAAGACACCCTATAGATAGACAACCTATCTGCTATTGCTCTATGACTATGTCTCTGGTTACGAATCCGCGACGGATATCGAAACTTCTGGCGAATAAAAGTATTATCCCAGCGATCGAGTTGTCTTCTTCTCAATGATGTTAATGTTGGGCGAAATAAGTGCACGCGAGGTCTTTCCCAACTCTTATAGCTGTAAATTAGGTACAATAAGTAAGACAGACATAGGATGGTTCACAAATTACTATTTGCTAGCATAAACATACTTAATTTTCACAAAAAAACTCGAAATTTAGGTAATGCTATATGAAAAAGCACTGATCGGATGTTAAGTATATATGTGTTTTTGGCAGGGGGCGCAAAAAACGGCAAATTAAAACAGAATAAGTATTAATTCAAAATTTGAATACTTTGTGTATTTTCCATTGAAGATTAAGATAGCCTTAATTCTCTCAGACATAGACGTGACCAAATTATTTATAGTTGTTTGTGCAATGTGGGTATTGAGTACAAATTCCAGACTTTCATGCACAAAAAAGTTCTTCCTTGATTTATGCCAATTTGTTTTGACAATCGCAAAATGATTTATATGGGATTCAGTTGCGGGATGTTGGCAGAAATAAAAATAATTTGAAGGCCACACACGGAGAAGCTGGCTGTTTACTTAAAAGTTAAATGGGATTCGTTTACGACGTCACCGCGATGAATTATGACATTTCGCGACACCTCATATAGTGGTTATTTATGGTTGCTAATTTGGGCGTACTAAAACAATTTATGGTGTCATGAGTTTATTACTTATCTTTATGGCGCACAGCTCACCAGTTGGACAAGACAAAACTTTGCAAACTAACTTGGCTCTCGTTTTACCGATAATAATGCATTATCTCAATCTTTGCACTTACCTCAATTTGTGGAAGGCAAAATAAAATTTCCTGTACTCTGAACAGATACAATGCAAATGTTTCTGGTCCCTATAAATGAT